AAGAGAAAGCTGTGTGTGTAAAATGTGTCCTAAACCAAGCTTTGAGTAAAAGTCGGGCATAACTCCCTGCTAGGGTTCTTGAAAATGTCTAATGATCCAACAGTCCACCAATTTAGACTTTTAGCGTTTCGATCATTTATTAAGTCTTTTCGAAATGGGTGAATAAGAATGAATAGAATGAATATGAATATGACAATTATGAATAATATGACAAGATAATATAACAATATAATATCGAGATAATATCCACAATAATATTTGACTGAATTTAAAGCAATTGATATTTGACAGAAAGTAAAACAGTTGATATTTGGCAGAAAGTAAAAGTTAGTCGTTAGTTTGTTATGAATTGAATCAGGGCGAAATGTAACGCTAAACTGTCGTAGCTCGACTTATGATAAAAGTTGAACTATAGAAGGTCGCGTAAATTGATATTCGTGCTAAAAACAAGATGGAGAAATAATATTGAGAACCATTCTCCAATTTAATCGTGTCGCACAAACAAAAGAAGGTGAGATCTCGTCTTAATCGTAAACCCATGTCGATTAATCAAAGGTAGTCTCTCACGATCCCAAAGTAAAGAAAATGACCCAAATGGTCATTTTCCACTGATTTGAAATTGTGAAGGTTATCGACTTCAATAAATCGACGTTTATGAATCGAAAGACTTCATAAATCAAAAAAATTAAATAAAATCGAAAATGAAGAAGAAATTGAAAGAGAAAAGAAGTTGGTCTCGGATAACTTGTTATCTATCAATAATTTGACCGATAACAACTTATAAAATTTCTTCATTGACCTAAAAACGATAAAAATGAATAAAATCTGAAATGAAAAGGTGAAAAGAAAGTCGGTCACAGATTAACTATTATTTATCAATAATTTGACAAATAATAATTTTAAGGTCTCTTCATCGACCGATAAAATAAAATCTAGATTAACATCACATAGAATGTGAGTAAAATCCACCAAATAGATAAGGAATTAATAGTAAAACTAAAAAAAATATTATTCTAAAACTTTACAAAATAAAACTTAAAACAGATCAAGAGAAAACTAAAAAAAAGATGAATTTTATTTTGAAGGGAATATGTTGCAACAAAAACAGCAAAAAAGAAAATGGAATCATTATGGGCTTGAAAGCTCATTCATCAAAGCAAAAACGGGTGCCTAAAAAAAGGAGTGGATACATAAAAAATAAATAATAATAAAAAAGACTCGGGCCATCAGGCCCAGACCGTAAACAACAAAGCCTTAAAGTAAGGCGTTTCTCACATGTTTCCACATTATCAATATACTTGATATCACAAAAGAAAACATCAATTCTTAAAACAAAATGGATAAATTTATTTCTAAACAGAAGCAACACACAAAATGCCATCACAATCCTTCTCGAAGTAAAGTCATGTGGCGGTTTGAATCGAAAACAGGTCACAAGCATTTTAAACTTCTTCGATCGACAAATCCTCGCACCTCACGCAACTTCAGGTTTACGCTTTTGGATCTCACTCTCTTCTGGTTTAGTTTCGAGTAAACTCAAATCTTCTTCTTCTTCTTCGTGTTCTGATTTTAATTTTGGGATCTTTCTCTGTTCGGGATCTGGATTGTGAAATAGGTTGGTTTTGTTTATGGTTTGAAAGCCTTCTCCTACCCTTTCTGGATCTATTTTGATTTGGGTTTTTGAAGTTAGTTGTGTGGGTTCATTTGAAGGTGGAATGGTGAAGCCATTTGAAGGAGAGAATCCAGTTTTGGGATTTGAAGGGGTTTTGAATATGAAGAAGGGAAAGGTTTTGCTGCAGATTAGAGAGTGGCCCCCTTTCTCAATGAGGGTGGAATTTGTTCTGTTTGTAGGAAGTATTGAGGGTATTTGTGGTATTCACAGTGTTGCTACTGTGTTTCATCATATTCCCCATGTTTTACGCGTCGCCTTCGTTTTGGAAGTTTGGGTGGGACCACTTAGAATGTTGTGAGGTGGATTTACGGTTGCGAAAGTTTGCGCATTGAGCTGGAATTTCGTAAAGCCATCCTATGATGCGTTGCAGATCCATTTTTTCTGTTAATACTAGTTACGGCTGTGATAAATTAAACGAGGTCATAGTGTGAAGCAGAATTTGCATGGGTCCATAAGTGAATCATGTTTGCAGTAAGCGTGCATGATTTGTAATTTTTTTAGTTTATTTTTCTCTTTTTGGAATTTATTGTGAAGTTGGATTTGGTAATGGGTCGGATCGCTGTGTGTAATGTATTATGGGCTTGGAGGTTATGTTGGCTCACTTTTTGTGGATTGGTGTAGGTCCTAGCAGGTACAGGTATCAAGTGTGTGGGGTTGTTTGTTGTGCATAGGACCATGGATAAAGGTGGGTTCTATTGTGAGATGTATTATTTTCTTGTGAGTGAAGTGGCATGTTGGTTTTGTTGTTGTACTGCGGGTCATGGACAAATAAGGATGGATTTTTTTGTAATTGAAATTTTTTGATAATGGTTTATAAAAAGTAAATGGGCTTTGGTTTCCTTCTTTTAATAATGGTTTATGGGCTTTGATATTATAAATGAATAAAAAATATTAAAAAAAAGAAATATGGTTCATGAACAAATTTGAATTTGAAATTGGACATCAAAAATGGATATGAAATTGGTTACTTGTGAAAAAGGATTTCGAATGAGAATTTGGATAATGAATATGGACATGAATAAAAAGGTGAAATTTAGAAAAAAAACAGATATTTTGCAAAATGAATGGTTTAGAAAAAACAAATATTGATTTGGAATGGATATGGTGAATAAAAATGGGAATGGAGAATACGTATATGAACGGATTTGGTTACAAATTGTTTCCCTACTGACTTTTCAACAACACATCTACCAGTTAACCTTTCAAATGAAACTCTGAACCTATGAACACAACTTGCACAATTTAAACCAACGCCACTTCGACCACAAATGAACCATAATCTTTTCACCATGAACCAAATTCTCATAGCTTTGGAATCATAAGATAACAACTTGACATGAACTGCACTCATCCCTACATTGGAAATAATATAGTCATGAAATGTCTGCACTTATCACAATCTGATAGCTTGACTCGCATACAAACGTCTTGAATAAGCATAAACCCTGATTGAAAGCTCAAGCCTGCACCACTTGAATGAATCATACCCGGACCTTGATCTTAGAACCAAACTTTGCGTAACCGAGATTAGGTCAAAAACCACTGAATAATACTCATCACTTGCCTGAGTCACCTTACATAACCTTGAACAACAAGCAGAAACAACATATTTTTTGGATTTTCTAGATATAGTTAGTGGATGGATATACATAATGAAAGCAATATATACATGTAGGACAAATTTGGGGTATGATAATAAGCTCCAGACATTTGACTTCCCTCTCGTATATTGCATGTAGACGATATCCTAATCTTCTGCAAAGGTACCAACTCCAATTTAAGGGCCCTTACTACTTTTTTCTCCAAGTATGCTTCTACATCTGGTCAGATTTTTACTTCAATTTAAAGTCCACCATTTTTGTTGGAAGCATGGAAACTCAACGATTAAATTATATCATTCAATCTAGTGGTTTTAGTAAAGGTAAATTTTCCTTCAGCTACCCAGGCATTCTTATTTTCAAAGTGAGGGTTAAAGTTCTTCATATGTAGACTATTGCTGACAGGTTGATTTCTAAACTCACTGCCTGGAAATCTTTTTTACTCTCTATTTGCTGGAAGGGTTCTTCTGGTTCAGGTTATCATTCATGCAATAATCACTCATTCCATTTGTGTTTATTTCTGGCATATCTATCTTCTAAAAAATATAGAGAGGATCACTAGGAATTTAATTTAAGGTGGAGAAATTGACAAATGGAAACTTGTAACTATGGCTTGGAAGAAGGTCTGTAAGCACAAAAATAAGGGAGGTTTTGGCCTTAGATATCTTATCTGTCTTATGAAGCCTCCGACTTGAAGCTTGCTTGGGACCTATTGTGTTCAGATGAGGATTTGGCCTGCAATCTCAGGGAGAGAGTTATTAGAAGTAGTGAGGTGATCAAATATAACATATCCTCTTCTATTTGGCATGGTTTAAAAGCTGAATCAATACCATTCAGGATCATTCTTGTTGGAGGGCGAGTGATGGTACTAACATAAATTTTTGGAAGGATAGGTAGTGTCGAAACCCTCTTATCAACTCTCTATCCTATAGTCAAATTTTCAGCACTAATCTTGAAGCCAAATTGGCCTCATACATTCAGAAAAGGAGCTGAAATTTTCCCGAGGCTTGGAGAGACCTTTTTCCATTCCTAGAATCTAGAGTTATTGATGTTGTCATGCGCTTGGTTGTGAGGAAATATCTACTGGTTTGGCCTTATTCTTGTTTGGGTAATTTGACTCTCAAGGAGGCTTACACTTTCAAGCAACCTCACTCTCCCAATCTGCCTTGGGCCAAGACGGTTTGGAGCATGGACATATGACAAAATTATGTAAAAAATAGACTAATTTTTAAATTTTTTTTTTTATTTTCTTCCTTTCGAAAGGATTTGAGTCAGTCCTTTTTTTCCCCTCAATCTTCGTTTAAAATCTAATATAATCTTATTTTAAAAAATCAATAAAATATATTTATATCCCACAAATTTCATTTCATTCTAACACATTCCATCAATCTAAAATATGCTCTAAATTAAAAAAATTAAACTCCAAAATATACATCCTTATGTTATTTAAATAAACATTTTTCTATTAACATTAAATAATTTATTAAAAAAGAAAAGAAAAATGAGTGCTATATAACCACCTCACATAAAGAAGAAAATAGAAATACAATATAAAATAAGGAGAGAGAGAAAAATATGAAAAGGAGTATTGATGAAGAGGAAGAGGTGGTGGTGGAAGACACGGTGGTAGGAAAGAGAGAGAGAACAAAACCCAATTTCATTTTCAACCAAACACTAAAATTAGTGCCAACCCACTCTTTCTCTTTCCTTCAATTCAATTCCCCATTCACATGCTTTCAAACCCTTCAACATCTGCCATGCTCACCTTTTCTTCTGCTAGGGTTCGTCCTTTTCTCCCTTCACCCCTCTTTTCATTTTTCATTTCATTTCACAATTAAATTTTCGATTTTTATTTCAGTTTCTCATGGAACAACGCTATTTGGATGCTATTCTTCTATTTTTTCTTCCTTAAATTATATACAATTATTAAAAAAAAACCCTCTTTTTTGGGTTCCCCTTGTTGTTTGCATCTTGAAGAATTATTATGAAGGTATTTTGTTTTTCAGCTGCTGTATCATTGAAAAATGTATTCTTTTTATCGTTATTATTAAAATGCATTATTGATCTTTTGTTACCATTATTTGATTTGGTTTATTGTTTATCAATTATCAATTATCAATTATCATTAGGAATTGCTCAATTCTGGTTTTTGTATTTATATGCATTTTTTGCTTGTTTGTCTGTTTGTTTGTGATTATAGCTTAACCTATGAGAAAGTATTGTTTTTTACTTGTTATAGTTTGAATGGAAAATTTAGTATTGATGATTTGATAATGGAGGTTGAATTTGAATTGATTAATGATGATTAATTACTCTCTGTTTCATAGGTGAGAGCTGGGTTTAGTGTGTGGCCTAATGTGAGGCAACTTTGCTTTAGAAAAGGTATTCTGTATGGATTTATGCGAATGTGTTCTACTCCGTATAAAACACTGTGTGGAGGAGCTAGTCGCTCGCTCAAAGTGGCTCGGTTTTGTAGTGTCGCGAATATGTCTTCCACATTGCAGATTGAATTGGTGAGAGCAGGTCTCTTGTTTCTTTTCTTTTTTTCATATAAGTTGTTTAGGTGACATTTGGTTAACATTAAGTTTCCCAAGCTGGTAAGGTTTATGAAGAAATATGTTGAAAGACTAGTCTGAGGTTGTGTTATCGTGTTTTTAAAAAATAATTAGGTACCTTGCTTGAGTGACAATTATGCATACCTTTTACATGATGTTGATACGGGCACGGTTGGAGTTGTGGATCCTTCTGAAGCTTTGCCTGTCATTGATGCGTTAAGCAAGAAAAATCGAAATTTGAATTACATACTCAACACTCACCATCATCATGATCACACTGGTGGAAATGTAGAGTTAAAAGCAAGATATGGGGCAAAGGTATGATATTTTTATCTTGTACCAAAGGATTCTTTTCTTTATTATGTTATAGATGCAATCTAGATTGTTCAATTCATTTAGAACATAACAATAAACGTTTAAAAAATCAAAAATTGTGTTAAGTTACTATAACAAAGAAACTAAATTACTTAAATCTATTATGTTAGTTAATATATGAAAAAAAACTACAAATTTCACTTAAAACGGAATAATGTAAAAACTACAAATTTCACTTTAAACGGAATAATGAAAAAAATGAAGAACCATGAATATGGTATGTGTATGTACATGGTACCGGTACTTCACAATTTTAGAAGTGCCCGTGCTTCAGAGGTTTTATGTGTTGACCCTTCCCATGTTGCATTGCAGGTGATTGGTTCAGGAGCTGACAAGGAAAGGATTCCTGGCATTGATATCCTTTTGAATGACGGTGATAAGTGGATGTTTGCTGGCCATGAGGTGCATGTAATGGAAACACCTGGACACACTCGAGGTCACAAACATAGCTTATTTGCAATATTATCAAACCCTTGTTTTTTGTGTGGCTCTTTTTTCTAATTTTCTATCATTTATACTGTAAGCAGGTCACATAAGCTTCTACGTTCCGGGATCTGGGGCAATCTTTACAGGAGACACTTTGTTCAGTTTATCATGTGGCAAACTCTTTGAAGGAAGCCCTGAACAGGTTGCTTTTACTTGCATTAACATGTCCTTTTTTCTATACAGAGATAACCGATAAATCATTGCATCCTGTGATGCATTCTATTTTGTATGTTTTGTTTTGCCCCTTTGCCAAAAGTCCGTGAAGTTTTAAAATACTAGACTTGTTATTTAAACTGAATCCAAATGGAGACTTTGCGGTGACCAACATCTTAGGGTATGTTTTGTTGCCATAATATTATAAGAGTGGATTGAATAAGAGAGTTTGGGTGTAATGCGATACAATAATACAATAGACAAATGCCACCAAGTCTGCAATCTTAGTATAAATGCTGTTATTGACGCAAAGCCTAGTTGTATATGTAAGCAAATTCTTGAATGCTGTAATATCAGTAACTTGGCAATGCTTGTAAGACACGCGATATCTTCATGCATTGAGAATTTCCTCCATGTTACAGATGCAGTCTTCGCTTAAAAAGATCACGTCTTTACCAGACAATACAAGTATATACTGTGGACACGAGTACACATTGGTGAGTTATTTCCTGCTCTGTTCCGTGTCCTTTGCTTTGTTTTCTTTGCCCCAAGTGCCATGACATTGACTCACGTGCTTTGGATTTTCTGCAGAGTAATGCAAAGTTTGCATTATCGGTTGAACCTGAAAACAAGGAACTTCGATCCTATGCTGCCCATGTTACTTACCTCCGAAGTAAAGGTTTGCCCACGGTGAGTTTTGGAATTGCACTTCCTTGTCGTTCTTTATGTGTCATCATAATATGTCTTTGTTAGCCTGTTTCAATCCTTTTCCTTTTACCTAAAGAATAGTGTTGCTTGTGCAGATTCCAACCATATTGAAGTTGGAAAAAGCTTGCAATCCATTCCTTCGAACATCCAGTGCACAAATCCGGAAATCGTTAAACATTGCAGTCACAGCAGATGATGCAGAAGCCCTGGGTATCATCCGGCAAGCAAAGGATGATTTTTAGATATTTTCAATTAAAGACATATTCTGTATAGAGTAGATTGATGAAACCATTTGTGGAATACTGTATGCTTCATTCCATCTTTTCAATAAGATATCTGAATTTTGTTTTGAGTAAACTGCAACCAGCCACCAGGTTCCTAATGGACCTGTCCCAACAACATCCACATCATTGCTTTGGCAAAAGAAGAGCAGCCGACCATGGATTGGCACAAGCACAACTAGACGCCGCCGCCAAAAGGACTGGAGATCTGCGACATGGCTTCTTCTTGTCCTCCAAATTCAGCAACTCTCCATCCATTTAAGCTTTCCTCCAAATGGCTTAGTGCATTAATATTATGGTAATTCAACCGTAGTTGATGTATATAAATAAGATGTATTACTTATTTAAAGAACTATAATATAGATCAGATGGGTTACATGTAGGGCTGAAAATGAGTCGAGTCGAGTCGAACTCACCTCAGCTCGGCTCGACTCGTTAAGAATTGTTCGAATTTGAGTTCGAGTTCGACACGAACTTTTTTTAAGCTCAAACTCGACTCATTATAAGTTTACGAACAGTTCGGTTCGACTCGTTAGGTTCATCTCATTAGGTTCACGAACTTAAAAACTATTTTTTTTAAATATATATATATATATTTTAGTATATTTGACATTTTAAATAAATATATATATTTTAAATAAAATATTAAAATAAAATAAAAGTTATCATATTGATATTTAACTTTATCTTCAAAATCTACTAATTCAAAATCTACACAACTTTCAAGAGATACATTTGAGAGTCTAATTCAAAAACTAATAAATTGAAGATTAAATTTGTCTAAGATTTGAAGTAAATATTTAAACCTAATCTTAAAGACAGTATAATTCTTTTCATATGTAATCGAGTTGACTCATGAACTTAACGAGTCGAACTATGTATAGTTCAAGTTTAGCTCATTTAGTTAACGAACTTAATTTTTCGCTCATACTCAACTCATTTGGTTCATGAACCTAGTTCAACGATTTAATTGTCGAGTCAAATTTTGAACTATCTTCGAGTTGGTTTGGTTCATTGTCAGCCCTAGTTACATGGACTAGAGCTAGATATGAGTGGAGTTGAGTTGACTTAGTTTGACTTAATAGCAATTGATTAAGCTTAAAATTAAAATTGAGTATGTCAAATAGTTTTTTTTCTCAAATTTGATTCGCTTAAACTTCATGAACAAATTTGTTTGTTTGTTCAAAAAAGTTAATTTTTAAGTTAACTCTTTTAGATATTTGACCTTTTAACTTTAATTTTTTGAAAAGACATGTTTATGAATTAAATGAGTTGAATTTTATATGAAAATTTTCAATTTAAATTCATTAATTTGATTTTTGAATTAGGTTTAAAGGATTAATTGTCTACCAAGGTTTTAAACTATATTCAAGTTAAATTAACTTTTTTCCGACATTCTTAACAATTTAAGGGGGGTGTTTGTTCATGGATTCTAAATTTATTCTCAGGAATATGATTTCAATTTTTTGTATTCTCATATTTGTTTCAAGTATTTATAAATTATGCCTTGAAACTTTTTATCTCTTGGGAGTATTTTTTACACTTGATTTTTTCATTTTCCATTCCTATGTAATAGAATGTGAATCTTTTATTTCTATAGAAATAAGTGGTAACCACCAATAACTTGTCACATTTATTTATTTAAGTTTTTCATTTTTTATTTTAAAATTTTAAGTAAAATATATTTTATAAATATTTCTGAGAACTTAAATTAATTATCAAATATAAAGGTAGGAAAAAAATTCTAGTAATAATGTTCTTGAAATAACTTGTCACATTTATTTATTTAAGTTTTTTATTTTTTATTTTAAAATTTTAAGTAAAATATATTTTATAAATATTTCTGAGAACTTAAATTAATTATCAAATATAAAGGTAGGAAAAAAATTCCTAGTAATAATGTTCTTGAAATAATATTTCTAGCATTATAATTTTAATCCTTGAAACAAACAAGTATTTTCAACTCTAAGTTTATTTAGCCATTTAATGCTATCATTTGTATTCAAGAGTGAAACTTTAATTTTGCATACGCTATAAGCGCTTATAGCTAATAGTTAACAACTTTTGAATAACCGAGAAGTTTTTGTGAAGCTCTTTGTTTTTGTTGCTTTCATGTTGCCGCCACCAGTTTTGTCATTGGATGGAGGTTTTATATAAGTCTTTTAGATCGTCGTTTTGCAATATTCTCACTGAAGGCCAAAAAGCTACTATTGTGAAAGAGAGAGTGTACCTGATTGAAAAAAAGACTAATAGAAGTATCTCATGAAGGCGGAAACGATTGTTATCAAAGGTTACGATGGATGAGAAGTTTTTTTAAGAACCGTGGAATCCTTTGAAGGAGGCGCTAGTCATCAAGCTACTTAGAAAGAATGAATGTTATCATTTAATACATGATAGGTTGAAGAAAATGTGAAAACTTATTGGAGCTTTTGAGATCATGGACGTTGACAATGATTTCTTTATGGCCAAGTGTGAACTACTCGCAAATAGGGAGAAAATCATGTCAGCAGACCCGCGGATGTTGTTTTACCATTATTTGGCAGTGGCTCGATGGACTCTAGACTTTACATCTCCTCTAGCAAAGGTGGAGAAGACTTTGGTTTGGATTCAATTTTCATGGCTTAACTTATTATATTATGATGAAAGTTTCCTTCATGGTTTGTCAGCTATGGTGGGTACTTTTGCTAAGGTAAATACTAACACCCTGAATGTAGAAAAAGGAAGGTTTGTGAGAATTTACGTGGAGATTGATCTGACCTTACCGTTTGTCGTAAAGGTCAATGTTAATGGTCATTGGTACAACATGCAATATGAAAGTCTTTGCATTATTTGCTCTAGTTGTGACTGTTATGGACATCATACCCGTGATTGCAAGAAAATATCAGATAGTCTGACACAACCAACCATTTCTATAGTGGCACAACCAAGAGGTCAGTCAGAATACAATGTTGTCCATGAGTAAAGATGAACGAAATTGTATAAGGAAGTGGGCGAAGATAGCGCCAAAATTGTAGAAAAAGAATATGGAGAAATAAGTGTAGTTCATAGTGATTGGTTGTTGGTATAGAGGAAAAACACAATAAATAGGGTTATGGTCAAGGGAAATTTTTATCCAATAATGCGCCTAGAGATCATGGGAGTTCTAAAATAAAAGGGATTGATGTTTCCTTAAAAGGAATAAGTCTTGAAAGTAAAATTGCTGGACCTAATCAACTTGACGCAGTTTCTAAGAAATGACGATTTGATAAGAGTGAACTCACTCCAAACGCGTGCCAGCCAACACACAGAGGGGACCCACATGCCAAGGTCAAGTCTTCCATTTTGGAACCACATCTTGCTATTAGTACACCTTTGCAGAAAATTGGGCCAACTTTTAATTCCAACATAATACAAAAGGACATGCTTAATACTATTAAATACACCTCCATTGTTCCCATAGGAAATTTAGGTCTAGAGACCATCACAAGATACAACATTCTAAATTTTGATCTGATAACAAGTCAGGAAGATGGAAATAACCAATGCGCTATGGATGAGGGTGCTACTTAAGAAGAGGAAGTTGTTTGTGAAACTCCCGCGGAATGGGAGCCAACTACGTAAATTGTCTCATGTTCGGGACTTGCTTTGTCACCTCCATCAACTTGACTAGTTTTGTTAGGTTTAAAAGAAGTCGCCATGCTCTCCTGGAATATATGAGAGCCTCTAATAATAAGTCTAAAAGACATGTAATGATTTTGATTCGAAAACACTCTCCAACGTTTTTAATCGTTATGGAAAAACACATTGGTTTTTATAAGATCAAATCCTTCTGGGATAGAGCTGGATATGTAAGTGTTCACTGCATGGATGCACGAGGTAAATTCGAGGGGATTTGGGTGTTAAAGAAGAATAGTAGTAAAATTGTAATTGTCGTGCATGATGTCTTTATAGATACAATAACTATCAAGCTATCATTGGGAACTTCCTCTTGGTATGTAATTGGAATTTATGATAGTCCTGTGTACACTCCTCATCTTAACTTGTGGCTCCACCTCATTGACCAGATGAACAATGTTGATGGTCCTTGGATGTTGATTAGAGACTTTAATGACATTATTCATCTGAGTGAACAAAAAGGTGGTAATATTAATCATTCTATGGTAATTGATTTGTTGAATGTCATTGATAAATGTAACTTAGTTGAAGTAGACATGAATGGTGGGAAATTCACTTGAAATAGGCCTTGTATTGGTAATCTAATGGTTTATTGCAAGCTGGATAAGGCTCTAGTTGACGTTGCTTGGTGCATGGATTTTCCTGATGCATATGGCGAGGTCTTGTGTAAATTTCATTCCCATTATCTTAGGTGTGGCCTTCCCCCTCCCCCAAGACCACGATCCATGTCCATTTAGGTTTGAGATATATTGGATCACTCATCTAGAATACTCTAATATAGTTGAGACTGCTTAGGGAAATCCCCATATGACACACTCTTAGCCGTAGTGGAGGTATAGTTGGTCGCTCTAGAGGTGACAATGAGAAGACATGACCTGCAATGGTTGATTATGTTAAGCTAGAGGCGCATGCAGAGGTGCATGATCAGGCTGATACATGTGACATTCAAGATGGTATTGTAGATAAAGGGTTCCCAGGAGGGCCCTCCGACCTTATATTGATGATTGAGTATGCCGATCACGTTTTATGACAGGGAGAGGTAAAAACATTTTAATTTATGTTGATTTTATGCATCGGTGATTAATTGAAAGTAACTGATGGTCCATACTTTGATTTTTACAAGATCACATCCTATTGAAGGTCATACTCATAATCTAAAGCTGAAGAAATCATCGCCAGTTCAACCTCATCCATATAAAAGTGTTAGGGAAATCCTTAGCATACAAAAGTGTTGGTGCAATCCTAACCATACAGAAGTGTTGGTGCAATCCTAACCATACAATGTGTTTGCTTACGCAATCCCAATCAAGTTGAATTTTTGACTTCATTTCCCCAATGCCTTTTACGTCCCGCATATGTTGTTTCCATTTTCTTAAACATCTAATACAATTATCTCTTCAACGAACAATGACAAGAGAAAATGGGCAATCAAGCTTCAACTTCAATTGAACCTAGTGACTATTGTTGACAAAACCAACTGCAATAAGTTTATGTCTACTCGCTGGCCTAGATGGAGGTAAGTGAAAAAATGTGATACTAAAGTCATGAGACAACTAGACCAATATCGTGGTGTATCTAGAAGCAATAAGATAACTCGTATAAGGAATTGTCATCCACTTGTCATACCCTTGAACTCCCAAGCTAGAGATTCCTAATGAACTCCTAATTTTTGAAACCATGTATAACACCTTGGAATACAAATCATTGTTGTGAAAAAAATTCACCATATAATTGCGTCCGAACCAAGGATAATGAATCTTAACACCATCCAAGTAAATCTCTAATAGCACGAAAACCATAATTTCCATAACCCTCCATATCTACCATAACTTCAATATAGCCATGCAAGAAAATAGAAAATTGTGACAAGTATAGGTGTCTTAAAGACTTGTTATACAATCAAATTGAGGGAGCTTTACTAGATGATTTCTTGGAAGTCTGACTTCCCTATGAAGCATAAACATACTCCCAATGTGAAGGATCATAATGCACACCACACTTTTTCCCCTTTTACTCTTCTTGGCTCCCTTTTTATGCTTGAGCTTTGATATGTCGCAAGTGTACGACTATATTGAACTAGTAAAAGGAGTTATCATCCTCAGAGACCAATGATCAATTAATGTTTTTTATCGTATCTATGTTTATCTAAGGTTACGTGAAAATTGGCTTGTTTGCGCGAAAATGATAAAATATTTAGTTTTCCTTAATATTAAAAATAAGAGCCCAGGACAATGATTTTTGTCCTCCAACTTCACTCATAGAAATTTTTCGTATCGATTATAAGGAGAATTATACTTTTTGTAGAAAAATACTAAAACTAGTGGTGGCGCCCAACGTCACCGGACTATAAACCCACAAACCATCTACTTTCGCAACATGAATTGCAAGTTTAGAGACCTTTTACAAAATAAAAGCAATCTCTCGATTAATTCATAAATGCTTTCATTATATAAAAACCAATCATTCAAATTTCTATGTCAGATACCGTTTACACCATTTAGGCATATAACAACATCTTTGTGTTCCTACTTTCGTAGTGAACATATTTCTTTTTTTAAACAAAAATCACAAAACAAAAATTTTATTCTCTCTATATTTAATACTCATACAATTCGTATGAGGTCTGTCGGTATGAAAATTCCCATGTCTCGGACCCTAAACAAAATCTACTTAGACATGGTTAATAATAAAGTAGTATAAATATACAAAACATACATAACATTTATTATAAAAGCAATAAAGTATAACCCATAGTGTGATGAATAATTATGAAACTAAAGATGCTCCAAATGAAGACTTTTGATCCAACAATAGTAGCAAAATAAAAATGCAGTAAAGTAGTAACAAGAAAAGAATAAAGGAAACCTTCAACTTGCATAAAATGAAGGAAACTTAGAGAAATTCTAGTACAATAATGCTCAAATCCCTTTTTTCCCCACAATGGCGGTTGAATGCACTAAAGGCCATGCAAAAGCACAAGAGAACATGATGGAAGCCGTTGGGAAAAAAGAATGAAACATGGTGGTCTGGGAGCCAAGACGTCCGCCATGGGCGATGACGGGCTGCCCGTCATGGCTTCTGCGTGTAGATGTCTTGTTCTTTTCCTGTTCTCATAACGATCATCCCTTGGTTGCCATGATAGGCGTCATGGATGGTCATGACATGCGTCATCCCTGTAATGGGCCAACCGTCAATCCTTCTTTTTGTTTGCTCCTTTCATGCTTTTTCTTCTCTTTTCCTCAGTATTCAGTGCCATATGCTCTATAGCTAAAACATAATGAAAATACCACATTTTTGCAGCAAAATGCAGATAAAACACATAAAACATGGAAAGAAACTAAATAAAAAATAGTAAAAATACTGATGATCAAACTCTCCCTTATAAGTGATCTTGTAAGTAGCGTCTTACTTAGGCATTATAATCAAAGAAGGTAACCTCTCATGTTTTTTAGCAAATCTCAATTTTCAAGCTTTTTCCTTGAGGACATGAAAAAGTTCAAGTTTGGGATTGTGATGACAAGTCACCTTATCATGTTTTTAGTATGAATTTCCTACCCTTTTTTTAGTGTTGTTTAATTTTAATATGTTTATATATATATATATATATATATATATATATATATATATATGTGTGTGTGTGTGTGTGTGTGTGTGTGTGTGTGTGTGTGTGTGTGTGTGTGTGTGTGTGTGTGTGTGCGTGTGTGTGCGTGCGCGCGCTGCGCACGTGTGTGTTTTGTAGGAATTAATAAAAATCGTGAAAAAGACCTATTCAAGTCACATATTCCTAACCAGAAAATTCTAGGGTATTTTATTGTGGAAGTTATTATGACAAAATTAGGAGATCACTAACACACCTGAAACGAAAGAAAAGAGGAAAATTATAAAAGAGTAAGAAAGCACTTCTCCAAGCTCAAAAGCGACATTAAGTTGAGCTTCAAGTTAGCATACATGCACTTTCTTTACAATCAGAAATTCCATGTTATTTTTACCTCAGTGCAATTCAGTTTTACCTTTTTGCATTATTTTGATCATGTATGGAGTTTCACGAGACTGATTTAGTTGAAACCAATGGAAAACGAAAGCTAACTCCAATATTATAACTTTTTTGAATAAGTAAGAGTATAAGTGTAAAAGAACGAAAAGTAACAAATACAATTTTGAAATGGTAAAAATGTTAAATATTGAACTATTCTCTTAACCTTGAAATTCCATTACAATGTTTATTTAATGAAAAGGAAGATAACAGTTTTAGTTTTCCAAATTTTTTACGCACCTGACCTTAAAAGTTTGGTTCACATTAAGATTTTC